CACACACACACACACACACACACACACACACACACACACACACACACCGTGCAACAAGGACAGAAGGCAAAGAAGATGGGCGCAAAGCCGCCGAGTCATGCATCTCAGCACCAGAATGACTCCCATATATACAACAGGTCAAGTTGTTCCCGTCTTTCTGGAGATAAAACAGACATAAGCACCCACCACAATATCCACTAAATTCTCCAAACTGCAGTTGCAATACGTCCGTGACAGATTTGATCGTATCCCGAAGGGGCAGAGGCACAATGTGACAAAGTGTTCTCGCAAACAGATTTGTTTTCTTGCAATCACAGATAACGCTCAGCAAAAAGCCCTGTCACATGCTCCACATACTGTACATAAACTGTACTTACACAGCCAGGGAAAGGACGAACGCAGCACCTGCTGTGCCATATGTCCTCGTAGCAAATGAACATGGAGTCAGTTCAGATTCTGACAACAGCAGATGTGAACTTCAGTCACAACTACACTTTCAGGTCGATACAAACTTTCAGGGTAAGAAGGGAGTTTTCTTTAGAAAGGGTTTTGTAGGATTTGTTCATTTTCATATTGGGTGAGCAAACTCTGATATTGATTGCATCTGAACTGTCTCTTGTTTCTTTATTCAGACTCTAAGCAGCTTTAAGTCTTTGAGTCTTTGAGTTTGGCGGAGCACCGAAAACATTTATTAACTGGTTTTCCTTAAATCCTTTGTGATCACCTAACAGAACTGACTGGAGTAGAGAATCTCAGTGTGAAACAGACATTCACAGGTTCACAGATTCCTAATGCAGATGAAGTGAAGTTTGTGTTGGTGACTGCATTGGAAGACACATATGACTCTAAAGACTGATGTTTAAATGAAAAACAAACGTAAGACTTGTGCAGACTACACAACTTTTGCCACAATTGAGTTGTGAGACCTTGAGTCGGCACGGAAAGAGAGAATTCGAGACACTTCTTGACCTCATAATGATCCGTCGCAGATGCTTTTTATTACAACCAAAAGCAAGATTCACTTGCAGTTGGAGCACCTCAAAGACGTGACAGAAAAAACAAATGTCTTGTAATGTGAATAATCAGGAAGGACTCAATTCAAATGGTCTTAAGAGACTGATAAATACAGCACAGGGCTGTTTGTCTACACTTAACGTTTAAGACAAGCGAGCAAAGTCAAATAGTTCGTCAGAGGAAATCGTCTCGAGAGAAAGAAAACAGTGTTGGAGGAGGCAGCAAAGCGCGGCTGTCTTTTGACAAGGCCTCACAAAAACAAATGGCCCAGAACAGGTCGGGACAAAGCTGTGTTTCGATCGTACGGAGAACTCGGAATACACAATAAGACTAAATGTAAATGAACGAGGAGCCCAAATAGCATGACAGAAAGTGAGCAGTAATGAAGCACCGCAGACTGGAAGCGACTGTATTTCCTCATGTAGTGTGTGTAGAGAGGACCTCTCAGGAACAGCCTGTCCCCTTCCTCCTCCTCCTCCTGCTCTCTCTTCTCCCAATCAATTATTCATCCCTCTCCATCACCACACCATGGGAGGCATGCACCGCATAGACATGCTCTCTGAGACACACACACACACACACACACACACACACTTTCAAAAAGAAGGATCTGCCAAGCATTTATGCCTGTGGTGGATTATACACACAGAAAACAAAGCCGTGCTGTCTTTCATTGAAAACACAAGACAGCAGCTTCTAAAATATTCACTTACAGCCGAGATGAGAGGAGGAAGGAGATTCAGAGTCGGGGATTTTCGAGGTTTAATCACTTGACGCTTGATTCTGTTTAACAACTACAGACCGAAAATATTTAAATTATTCCTGCATCTGCACAGTAGATGTGTACACATGTCTCAAAGAAACATTTCACCCCAAAACACAATGTCACAAATTATTCCTGGACATTGTGTTCGCCGTGAAACAAAAACAATGGCTACTTCCTGTTTAAGACCTCTTCCAACTGTCAAATTTAAAAAGAAAGAACCAACAAAAGGCTCGGTGGAATAGCTTCCATGCCGATCCTGGTGTAAACAGATATTACCAACAGGTTTTCAAATCCAATTTTATCAAAAGGAACATGGTTTGCCCTGAGCAAAAAACCAAATCAGAAAAAGCTATTTTTTGTCATTTTTTTGTCCGTAAGGCTATTATAATCTCTGCCAGAAATCTGTTTAATCCTTGGATTCTGATATAGGACACTAACAGCTAAAAGCGACGAATGTTGTCTCACCACACAGTTGACGTCCATGCCGGCCTCCAGCAGGGTCTGGACGGTGCTGTGGTGTCCGTTGCGTGCAGCCAGGTGAAGCGGAGTGTGTCGGCGAGTGTGGCTGGTCATGAGGTTGGGGTGAGCGCTCGCCAACATGCGCACCACCTGCGCACAAAAGCAGAGCCATATGTCAGGGACAAAAACAGCAAAGTTTGGAGAAACTAGGCCATGAGGCATCTTTTTGTGACTTTTTTTAAAGACAAATCACAGCAAAAAGTTTCCCAGAGAAACGGGAAATATTTCGTTCCCCCTTAGAATCAAAGACAGTCAATGTTAAGTTAGAACTTATAGCTTCACCAGTCAGATCAACGCTAACTAACAGGGTCAGATGAAGATGGAAAATTAGCATTCGGCGTCGTTTTCAACTGCCTATGAATAGAAATATACAGTAGGTCTCTTTACGTCTTTGTTTTGTAATGTACGTCCTTGAATTAAAAGATCTGTCAATCAACTTGAGCGTAGTAGGAGGAGGCTGTGCGTTGAGGTGGTGGAGCGCGTTAGTTTGATCGTAGACGGTCTGTATGTGTGCGTGTACACTAAACTTTTGCCCTGTGTTAGTTACATCTCCGTGCAGCAGCAACTCACCACAGGGATTTCCCTTCATTATTATGCAGAGAAGGAAAGAGAGAGAGAAAGGCCGCTGCCTTTGTAAATTATTCATTCACACTCAGACAAACCTGTATGGCTCGACTGCAATTACTCACTACCTTAGCAGAGAGAAAGTGTGATTGCATTTGAACATCAGCAGGCACTTGTGGCATACGCGTCTTACCGTGAAGCTACCCTTGTGATGCGTCTGTACGTTTTCTCACATTTCTCAAAAGACTAAAGTTGTAAAGAACGTGCACCTGTCTATAGCAGAGGAAGTATTAGAGGAAGTTTTTCTTTTTCATCGCGTATCCGCCATTTTTAAATGAATCAACGACTCCCAGTTTAGAGCAGCTCTCATGCACTGTGGTCCTTGTCGCTGCCGACGCCATGCTGCTGTTTGAGCTTCTCCCCTCTGGACGCAGCAAAAAGGTCAAGTCCAACAGGATGAGGAACTACTCCATCTCTCTCTTGCTATCTGTTAAATCCTCATGTGCCAGCTGAGGATGAGTCCTCCAGGTGAAACTGAAGGGTTAACTCAAATGATGACGGGATGTACTCCAGATTAAATGTCATGTTGTCACTTGTTTTTGAAAAACCCTTTCCAAACTTTTGCATTAAATATATATTATTTCCTTCATAAAACTTATGTATGTATTCTCACTGACCTGCAGGCGTCCGTACAGCGCTGCCAGGTCCAGAGGGGTCTCCTGTTGGCTGTTTCTCATGGTGGGGTCGGTCAGCTCCTGAAGCAGCACTGAAACCACCTCAGAGTGTCCGTACTGGGCTGCACAATGAAGCGCCGTTTCCCTCTCATGGTTCTGTGGGAGAATGAAAGGAAAGGAATGATTGACAGAGGGAAAAGGTAAATGATGAAGAGTGGGCAGAGGGAGCGATTAGGCGTAGAGAGTAAGAGAGTGGAGAACATAACAGAAGAAGGATGGAAGGAAGGTCAAAGGTAAAGAAGAAAGGTAGGTGGAGTTAGAGAGGGAAGTGGCAAATGATGGGAAAAGGTGATGAGGAAAAGGCGATTAATAGCATGGAAAAAAGGTAGGTGGTGAGTTAGAGGTGGGGGAAATGTGGGTGAGAGGATGGAGATATAGAAAGGAAGAGAAGAAGGAAAAAAAGCAGTTGTTTTTTTTACTAATCGGATCACTGACACAGGGTGAAATTCTAGACGGACATATACTGTATGCTACTCGTATGAAGCGCACGTCTCGGTCAGTAAATCCTTCTGTGCGTGCGAATTCCAAAAGTGTGTCGGGTGTGTGAGCGCTGTCAGGGGAAATCTACAGCTTCCTGTCCGTGAAATAGAGGAGACATGGTCCAAAGCAAAGTGTTCTCCTCAAACCCTCCGTGCATTTTTTGGCCCAACACTTTTCTCTGCACTTAACAACCGAGCCCGTCAGCCTCCAATCGACATATTCAGAAGGAACTGAATTTCTGTGTGCTACATTTCAAATCATCGATTCGTATTCCAAGTTATCGTCCAAACTTCTGAGTAATATATGTAAATTATGTTTAAACCTCATGTGCGCGGACATAATTGTAGTATTTGTAATTTTGTAAGCTGGCACCTATATATCGTAGATAGACATACACGTGATGGAAGCACATTACTGTGTGCATTTAGGCTTCTGAGGATATTACCAAAGGGGGAGAAAGGAAAATTACAAAAGGGCATGAGTGTGTAGCTGTGTTGTTGCTGGCGTTTGTCCGAGAGGAAAACCTACATTTTAAGGAAGCTGCTGACATTGAACACTAGGTGATGTAACATTTGGTGGAAAAAGGAGGTGGGGGGGACAGACAAAAGCAAGAGGAGACAGTAGGAGAGGAGGCGGTAAAGAGGTAGAGGAACTAAAGGAATTATTTAGAACGAGAGAGAAAGCAGGAACCTGTCCCACGAGAACTAACGTCAACAGATCAAAGACATCAATCTCTGCTAGTTTTGAGAGGTTATTGAGTTATACACTATGTAAAAAAAAAAAAAAGTATACAGGGTTCATTGCAACACTATCAAGTCATTTTGTGCTCTGTGATCGAATCTATCTGAGTCCACAGCGTTTTCAATAAGTGGCAGAAGCACGTTCAAGTTATCCGGGGTGTAAGAAGATGTGCCCGAAATACTGAGAGGCAGCTGTTCAGCTCTGTTGCTTCCATCGACAAATCCATACGAGAAATGGCAAGAAGCGTGAATGACACTGACAAAGCTCAGCTACACAAGTCACGTCGACATGTTTCTCCGATCTTCATAAAGAAAAGTTGAGTTACCACGAACATGTCGACTGAGAAAAAACGTCTACGGAACAAATTTGTAATTCGCTATACGGAACAAAATAATCCCGCTCCCAACAAGAGCGAGAAATGGTGAACATGAACACAACGTCAGGCCGAACGGATGACATGAAATATATGAATATATAGGTGATTATTAAGTTGCTCTCTGAAGACTTGCTCACCTTTTTCATATGATCGACAGTTGATGACATTCTGTCTCATGCTTCAAAACACAGACATGCCCCCCTCTTCCCCCCCTTCCCTCTCATGCCTCCATGATAAATCAGCATCACCACACTCTGTTGCTCATATCACGCCTTTCCTTACGCTCTTTCTCCCCCGGAGCCTCGCCCTCCCTCTCCCCCTACATTCATGCACCCCTCTGAGCAGTGAGTGAGAGAGATGAAGAGATACTGTTTGTGTGACTAACGGAGGAAAAAGAGCCCCGGTATGAAGACACACGTACACTCGCAGCAGAAACACCAACAAAATGTGCCGAGGGAGCGTTCCCTCCTCCTCGGGGATCGCACACCCCTCCAGTGATGGCACAGTGGGAGCTTCCAGAGCGGGTCTGATGATTGCAGGTCCACTGTACTGTAAGCACAATAATCACACACTCGTGCACACTGTAATTCACATTCATCACTGGTGTAATTGTTGGTTTGCATTATGTTTAATAAGCTCCATTTGCTCCGTTCCTGTGTGGGTGTTCTACTGTGAGACTATTTTCCACTGGATTGACTTCCTCTTCACCAAGGGATCATTTAAGTTTCATCTTATCTAATTTATCATATGTACTGTTTTCATCCCAGAGTCCCAAACCACCACATATGCAGCGCAATCAGTCATCGAGAATAGAGCATTCATCTGTTAAAGGTTAAATGCTACAGCATCTGGAAAAAGATGTTCAACACCCCATAGGTTATGTATTTTCACCATGATATATTTTGAAGCAATGATACTAAATAAAAACAAGGTGGATGATTACATATGTAGCCTATAGAACCTTTACACGTACTGAAGTTAACTGATCTAAATGAACTTTTAACAATATCCAGAACAGGAACAACTTGGATCTAGTTGTCGTCTAGAAACCTTTTTTTGGCTCCTTAAAATAAAGTCTATTTGAAAACATATTGCATATCTCCGGCCTCTCTCTGGGCCGTCACACACAGCACGCAGGTTTGACATTGCACGGAGCGAGGCCATCATTTCCCAGCGGATAATAGGGCCGTCCTCGAAAAAAGAAAATCTTTGTCGACTAACACACATACGACTTCGACGACGATTTTGAGCATGGCAGAAAGTGGACGTGGACACCTAACCACGTTAGAAAATGTATATTGATATTGATTATGTTCATATTCCTGGTATCTTACTTTGCTGCTTGATACTGTTGATACTGCGTGTTCGGAGTGAAACCACAGTCAGATTGATGTATTTGAATAATTGATGGTGTGAGGAGGTAATTATTCAGTAATGCAACGATTACAGAGAACACAACAGTCCTGCTTTTTTGTCCCGTTAATCATCCAGCAAACACTCACATCCGGTTGGGAACTAATGTATTAAAAAGGAATTTAGGAGGATTAGTAGTTTTTGTTCTTGTGGTTTAAATGTTGTTTATTATGAGGAAAATCGTGGGGTTCAATTCAAGCTGCTGCACTGAGCTTGGGAATGATTGTTTCACCAACGACTGTTTCCAACAATGAACCCTAAAGAGCTCAGAACAATTAAAATTTTAACAATTACCATTCCTTGGCAACTGAGCAACTCCATCGGCTAATGAAGGTCATGTGATACAATCGAAAGCTCCGGAACAGAACATGAGAGAATGGTGAGATTGTTTCGTCAACATTTTGGTTATTAACATTTGGATCACGGATTATGCCTCCAACAGGATGATAATGACTACATTTTAAGATTCAACACCAAAACAAGCACGTGGATGTAATGAAGCAAACCATCTCAGACACACACACACACACACACACACACACACTCAACACGGATATGAAACCACTGGGACACAGATTGCAGACATTGTTGGTGCTGCCGCTGACCCGCTCTGTCTTTGCAGCCTTTGTCAGTCCAATCAGCTGTGCCTCACGCACCCAGCTTTAGATAGGGAGAAGCGCAACTCCCAGACAGAAAGGAGGAGAGTGACAAAGAGATGAACAGAGACACAGAGTGACAGGACGAGGGAGCTAGAGAAGAAGAGGAGAGAGAGAGAGAAAATCCCTCCATGTTCTCAGAGCCAGCTATATATTTCCATTACGCTCGCTCTGACAGCTTTCCGATATCATCTAGCACTCTGTGTATTGTTGCTGATTGAGCCCTGAGCAACAGCCATCTACTAATGACCCATCAGCAGGCATGGCAGCGCATTATTGACATGCCCATACAAATGGATGTCAGTGCATATATGGCATTGATTCACAGATAATGGTCATAAATATAAAAAGCACGTAATGAAAAGTATCTGCTTGTCCTTCTTACAGGGACGGCTGCATGGTTTTTACAAGTGTTTAAGGAAGAATATGTTAGCATTTTACCATGATACATATTTACTATCCATGCAGCATCCTGAAGGGCACACACAGAATCTGCTTGAACACTCGTAAACACTATCGGTGTTCGTTAAGTTCACCCACACGGGACCAAACAAACGCCCGTTGCAAATAAGCCACGCTTATCCGACGGGCCGTGGCTGAAATGAAACCAGAGCGAGTGAAGCGCAGAGGTATCTTTCACACACCGTGTTAATGCTGATGGACTGATATGCAGGATGAGCTTCGTCAGCTTTACGGCGTCTCATAATCCCAGCAGCTCAGCGCGCTGCCTTGGGGACAGCTGGGTAAATAAACAGAGACGGGAAAAACACCAGACGCACAAGGTGGAACCGTTTCTCTGCTTCTCGCTGGTGTCTTCTCTTATTTATATGGATCCATTCCTCTACTGTCCACGGGTGCGTTTTATATCTGCCGTTGCTTTTATTCACCATTCGGTTCGACTGAAATTCAAATTCAATTTTGCTAAGAAGTCAATGCATACGTTTCTTCTTATTTGGTCAAAATTGTAATTCCCAGAAATAAATTTAGAGGAAATGTAAGGTGTATTCATTTCCCGGTTCATTTTACATCAACCGGGAATCAAAGCTAATGTATTTTTTCATATCAGTTTGACAAAAATTAAAAACATCATTAAAGACATTTTTAGTTATCCTTGACCAGTGAAGACCAACCAATAAAATCTGAATATGTGAAATCTATGGATGAAAAGATGCAAAGAATTCAATCAAGGAAATTCAAAGAAATAAGTTTTTATCAAATTGGATTGCTTTTAGTCCGACATAAGACTGGGGGATGTTCAGAGGAGCAGTGGCTTCGGCCTGATGGTTAAAGAGAAAAGGATTCATACTGCTGCAGTGCCCTTGAGCAGGACACAAAATCCCTCACAGCTCCGAGGATGCTCCTTTGTAGTTAAAATGTGAACTCTGATCTCCCGCTAGGGTTAGCAACTTAAAAAAGGAAACATATTTGCA